TCCTGCCTAGGCAGGAGGGTGGACTAGAAGACCTCCAAGGTCCTTCCAACTCTGCTATTGTATAGTTTCCTTAAGTGTTTTCCTGATCTTGATTGGTAGCATTTCTTCCAGAAAGTAAGTTTAGGTGCTGGGGGAATGGAAATGATAGTAAAGTTGGCTGACACAAATTTATTTTCTGCTCTCACCCCCCCCCAATACAAAAGTGGCCCTGTAGAAGAAGCTGGACATGTTCCCTCTCTTCCATATATGATCCTAAATATAAGGAGCAGCAGAAAACTAAGTATGAAATAGTTACAGGCATGCCTCTTCCAAAGCAGCTATGTGCAAGCTAAAAATTTGTGTGTCTTAAGGAGTGCGTGAAGTGGAGGTGGTGTATAGAGGTTTGTATTGACCCATCTTGAACCTTAGACCAATACTTCAGAAGCTTATGTTCAGATGTGGATTTCAGCTACCAGAATTTACCAATCAGCACATGATGTACACACATCTTAATGTTGCTGAGGGATCCTGCTGAAACACTTGTAACAATTTGGGTATACAACTTGACTGAGCAGGAAAGGCATCTTGCAATTGGTGCAAATGGCAGCTTGATGTGTAGCTACTATGGAAAACAGCAAATATTAGGATTTATTAAGAAGAAAATCAAAAGTGAAGCTAATGCTTTCATTTAGAACTGGAGTGAAATTTTACTTAGAATAATGTGGTACCGGTTGTCTCACTAAACCTCAAAAAAGGCAAAGTTGAAGCTAGGAAAGGAGGCAATTGAAATGTTTACTTGCTAGAGCTACTCTCAAATGAAGAAAAACAGCATTTTATGCTGCTTAGCTTACAGTTAAAGGGGATAGGAGGAGACCTGATAGAGCACAGCATTGGGATTTGGGATTTTTCAGAGATACAAAATGTGAAGAGATTCGGGACCAATAATAATGCAGCCAAGAGATAAATCATAGAAATTGCTGCCATTAGATGTGACATCTCTTTAGATACTTTAAAAGGATCAAATAGATTCAAGGATAATTGGATTCTTAATGTTTTCCATTGATGCCTGTTTATTTACTAGCTCTTGAATTAAGATGCCATATCATCAATACTAACAGTTGGGAGTAATTGTGACTTTCTTGATTGCACCTGATTGAGGCAAAGTATGGCATAGAATATTGGATGAAGTATGTTTAGCACAGTTCTTCATGGTATGTGTTGGTCAAAATTAGAGTGTAAAACATTGCATGTTTGACTAATGCATGGTCTGAAACCACACGATGCAACAATGCGGGTAAAACTAGGCAGGTCTAGATCTTTAGTTGGACACTGTCTGGGAATCCCAAATATGGCTTGTTGATTTTTTTTTTAAATGAGATAGAAAGCAAACAAAATGCATGTATGTGGGATTTGTGTATTTCAAGAATGACATGGGTTGAGTTGTAGTTTTTATATATGAATAATGGGTTTTCCACTGTTATACTTTTACTTTCTGACCAGCTGATTCCAGCCCTGTGACTTCCATCAAATCTCATTCCAAAGCAGCTGCAGTCTGTGGAGGGCTCAAACGAGTGGGCCTGTGTCACGTCTCCCAAGTGATCTCCGATGTGTATGGTGACCGGATGGCAACTGGTAACAGTTATGGTGATGCTTCTTCCTTCCCACTGCAACAGAAGATTTTAGTCTGTTCTCTGCTGCTCTTAGCCAAGCAACAGAATACCAAAGAAGTTAACCTAGGAAAGGTGTGTATTGATCTCTCATTGCTACTTTCTTATAGTGCTTTTATTTAGTACTGCTTCATTCTTCTTCACTCGGATCTCGTGAGAAATGAAGGTGAAAAAAATCTTAATATTACACTGGATAGTGTAATGTTTTTATGGAAAATTTGAGTTCTGAAAGAATAAAGTGATATAAAAAGATTGATGCTTTCTGCCTCCTCGAATCCTGTACCTTATCTTGTAAAAGATATTGATAGTAGATCTCTTTACTTAGGAAATAATGTCTTCAATCTTCCTTGGTCTGAATGAAAGATAATTGCATGAAATGTAGTATTATGTTCAATATAGATAGCCCATGACCTATAAACACAATTACGACCAGAATTTATGTTGTTAAGCAAGGCAATTATGAGTCAAGCCTAATTTTACAATCTTTTTTTTTTTTGCCATGTTGTTAAGCGGATCATTGGTCATTAAGCAAATCTGTTTTCCCCCCATTGACTTTGCTTGTTGGAGGCTGGCTGGGAAGGTTGCAAGTCACAATCATATGATTTTGGGATACTGCAATGGTTGCAAATACATGTCAGCTGCCAAGGACCTGAATTTTGGTCACACGACCTTGCAGATTCTGTAACAGGGGTGGGTTTCAACCGGTTCGCAGCGGTCCCCGCGAACCGGTTGGTCGGCGAATCCGGAAGTAACTTCCAGGAACGGCAAAGGGCCCGCCTGCACTCCTTACCGGTCTTTGAAGGCTTCTGCGCTTCCACGCAGGCGCATGGCACATACAGTGCCTGCGCGATTCTCCGCAAGCAGCTGGATGGCACATACAGCGCCTGCGCGAGTCTCCACGAGCAGCTGGAGCATCGCGCAGGCGCTAAGACGCATGCATAAACCGTACGTGCACGAGGACGCCGCTGGCCCCGTTCCAACCGGTTCGGTTGGAACGGGATTAGCAACCCACCCCTGTTCTGTAATTAGGTCTAAGCGTGAGGAGCGGTTGTAAGTCAGTGCCAATGTAACTTTAAACAAGGTTGTAAGTTGAGAACTACCTCTACAGGACATGTGCTATATATATAAAGCACCTACTAATGCCCCCATCCTATTATCTTCTCATGGCATTTGAAAAGTGGAGGAAAAATAGTTTGTTCTATACAATACTTCCTAATTTTTGTAGCAGAACAATATAGTTGCCTATATTCCAAATTCTTCCAAAATTCTGGGTGCTTCTTTTCTTCCATAGGAACAACTGCTGAAACTCGTCAGAGCAATTTGTCCATTATTTCTAGTAAAACTACACTTAAGTGGGATTTCACGTAAACTCTGAATTTGTTTTGCAATGTATCTTATTAAAGATTTCTAAATCTTTTTTCATGGCCACTCTTTTCTTTAAGTAGTAAAAATATACTAGCTACACCAAGTATAGAACTATGCTAGCAAGTGCTTTGGCTAGGCACTTTGGGTTATGATTATGAAGAGCATATTTTCATCAAAAGCTATGATAATGGAATAAAATGAAGCTGGGATGAGTGAGCTTTGTCGTTTATGCTAATCTCTCTATGTTATCATTATATTCAATAATAATTGGAGCTCATTAAACCTTCCCTATTTCTAGCTGCATGAAGCCTACAGCAGAATTTGTCAGAAACAGAAAGTAGGACCTGTTGACCAATCGGAGTGCCTCTCACTCTCAGCTCTTTTGGAATCTAGGGGCATTGTGGGACTCAAAAAGGCTAAAGAAGCACGACTGTCTAAGGTATTTCCCCATATTGGCTGGGAGAGCAGTTTAGATTAATCACATATTCTTCCTAGTCTGAAAGATCTAAGATTAATGTACACATTTTCCATTCTCTACTGCTTTTAAGAGGAAATCTTTTGAGAGGTTGGGGTTGGCTTTTACTCCTTATAATAATGAAAATAACAGAGTGATAAAAATTGGCCAGTGATTCTTGTTTTGGCTTTCCTAGGAAAATGTACTATCTAGAGTTCTTTAGTGCCTGAAAGGTGTGTGCTATGCCTGGGAATTTTTTTCTTTAGATGCAACCATCTTAAATATTTTAGCTATATGGACATGGTAGGTTTACCAGCTCTCCTTTCTTATGTTTCTGTGGAACATCCTCAGGGTACAACTTTTTCTGTTCATATCTATTCTTTGCAGAACTGTAGAAACAATAAACAAAGAGAGAACAGAGTTGAATTACTTTCCCACCAGAGCTGTTGGAACTGCATGTGCAACACCAGTCATTCTTACCTATATTGGAAAAACTGCCATAAGTTCAGATATATCACAATATATTTGATTGGTTGTCATAATGTGCTCTGTCCACCTTGAAATTTTCCTATTTTTCCAAAGTCCCATAACTTTCTGGAATGCAAATTAAAACTCTACATTGAAAAAGCTAATAAGTGCAATGTTGTGGCAATTAATGCAGTGCTAATGCTTGGAATTCTGCTATAGGAGATAATTGATTTGAAATGTTGTGCATTTTGAATAATGGAGAAGTTGTACAACTGAAAGAACTGATTATTAATCTGTCTCTCCCACATCCTTGTTTCTGTTTGTATACATCTAATTTTTTACAATTGGAGAAAAAGGAAATGCAGATATTTGAGGCATTTAGATAGAATATTCTCTTCATTGTATCCCTATTCTTCCAATGTTAATTCTATGGGAACTGGCAGTTGAAATTGTATGGCAGATTGTTGATTCTTGTAACAATCATAATATTTCTGTTCTTGTTGTATAAAGTAGTTGGAAATCAACATATGTTGGAAGTTTCAGTAACAAGTTGATACAGAACTTTTTCTTCTATATAGAGTAAAGGGAAAGTTAGAAATTGCCGATACCTACAATTTAATCTGGATATTGTTATACGTGGGCAATCATGGATACTCAGTAATGTCAAAGTAACAGATTTATGTTTGTTTTTCTTCCACCAGGTTTTTCTGAAAATAGAAGAGAAGGATTTGGAACATGCCCTCAAGGATGGAATCTTGGTTGGAAGCATTTTGGCAGGGGGGCTTTAAAACTGTTGCTTTGTTCCCTTCTACAACACAATGCCTCATACGTCTATTAACCTTAGGAATCGACTTCATCAAGACACACATAGGGGTGCAACGTGCAAAATATTTGGACCATTGGCTTTTTAAACAATGAATTGCCCAATTTTCAAGGTTTTTTTTAAAAAAATTACCTTTTGATTATGCATCACTCTCATTTGGAGATTTATTTTTGAATACCAGAAATATTTTCCCTTCTTTCCCAGCCACAACGCAGTTAACCTTTCTCTGCTGCCCCTTCCCTCTACAAATATGGAACTGCCAATGTGATATTTGTCTCCGTGATTAATAGCAGAGATGAGAAAGGATGAAAGATGTCAGTAAGAGATCCCATTTGCAGATGCAGCCATTAATGTTGCAATAGAAAATAAGAATGTAGTAGCTTGAGTTCTTTTGAAGTTGGGCTGCTTCAATGAGCTAGATGTCATTCATACTGAGGCTTAGCCTCTTGAGAGCTACAAAGGGGCTTAGCCATAGCACACAGGCACACACACATTGTTGAGGGCCCTTGAACATCTTAATGTTTCTGAACTGTGGCTACAATCTTAGCACCAAAACTAGTTTCAGATCTGGAGCAAAGAGTCAATTTTATTTTTGAGCCATTTATTTTGAAAAGTTGAATTAATTGAATAGTTTGATTTGTATGAATAAAATTTTTACTAAGCCCAGTGTGGATTTTCTGAATTGGAATCTACTTGTTTGTATACATATATATGAATGATCAGAATTGGTTTGTTTTAATTGCAAAGCCATTTATAGTTACACCTCACTTGCAGTGCCTTTCTCCACTGATTAACTCAGAATTGTTCTGATTTATTGAAATACGTACAACCCGATGTTTTTAACAGTTGCAATTATTTGCTATTGCTTTAATTTACAAATTAAAATAAGTCAATTTTGCAATTGTGAAGTTTAAGATATATGCTTGGTTCAGTAGTTACTCATTTACACTGTTTAGCAATTTTCATTAGAGTTGTATGGCTTTCTGGTTTGGTGGGTGTGTCTACATATCCCATTAATTGTGGGCTTGTCCTATGCTCCGTTTTAAATATACTTGAAATTTGTATGTCTAACATATTAGCTTGTTCCAGATTATGCATATTTTAGCAGCTATCACTATTGTTCTCTTGGAGTTTAGAAGACTACCCACTACATCATTTTCAGGATATGCAATTCTGTAACAAATATTGTTAAATTTTAGTGAGAATACTAGTATTAATAAAGAGCTGGGGGCTTTCAGTTTAATTAGTGCTCTCCCCTAAATTTTTATACTGCCTAATTTTCCACAAAGCTGCTCATGTGGCCATAGCAAGAGATGTATTACATGTGGTTTTTTGGCATATACATTTTATAGCCTCCTTGTTCAGCTTTGGTGGAATGGGATGACTTGACCCATCTGCATCCCTGATGGCCGACTCCTGTAAACCACAATGCCATCAGATGTTAAAAATCCATGACAGTGTTAAGAGAAACCAGCCTAGCCCCATAAAAACAAAGGGAGATTTTGTGGTTGTCTCTCCTGGCCACTAACTGAGTGGTTAACCATTGCAATATATCCAACAATAGAAAAATGCTGAAGCCTACTAACATGAAATAAAATGTTAACTTATGAGAACTCAAATTCTAATTGATACACTATTGTATACAGGATTTGGAGAACCAAAATTAGTCTTTGGACTTCTAAGATTATCAAGCATACTGCTCATATAAGCCAGTTTTCAAAGAGTTAATGGCCTAGAACAGCCACAGCTAATAGAAAGCAGACTTTAGAAAGAATTGGAAGCAGATGGGCAGATGGATTTTAAATCATATTTTTCTTCCTGCTAGGACCTTGAAAGTGATTCAATACTCACTACAACAGCATGTATACCTATTGTCTTCGTGTTTTGCATGTATGTGCATATTGGTCTATACCTAAGAAAATGCCTCCTTCCAGTAGGTATTTCAGGTCTTATGCACTGGTAATATTTTGTGCATCAGGGAGGTTTTTGTATCCATTGTTCATTTGTTCTGAGATAGCAGTTCTTAAATCATCCTTCTCATTTGGTCTGATTTTTAAGAAAATATAAGAATCAGCTCTCAAGTTGATAGCTTTATTAATTTGAGTTGTGGGGAGTTCTGTTAGATAATTGCATTTAAAACCTAAAAATGAAAAAAGTGATGGGAAATTTAGTAACTGCTGAGGAGAAGACACATGGACTTTGCTACTGATAATAATTTTAACTCTGGAGGTGATGAGTGTTTCTGATTATTTAAAACAAAGGGGTTGGAGTTTTTTTGCTGAAAGAAACACATTCTGCTAAAGAGTCATTCTGAACTAGTTAAGACTGGCAGGTTGAGAGCCTTGCTCCAAAAATCAGAATATTGGCTTTGGAGAGTCTTCAGATTTTGCAAAGCTTAAAGAACCTATTTTGTACATTAACACCCAACTCAAAAACACAACTCCCCCCCCCCCAAAGGCATTCACTCTGAAGGTCATAAAGAGGATATGAGGCCATATGTGACCTTGAGTTGCCCATTTGCATACTTCAATTTGTTGTAAGCCTCTTAATTTGATGAGGCTAACAACATGTCTTAAAACTACTGTAGAATGCAGACTTCTGAGTTTGCTGACGTCATCAGCAAAGGTGGTAAACAAAGGGAAGCAAAAATGGAGTAGGGGAATCTGTTCAACTCATGAGTTTAGTTTCAGAGTGCAGGAATGCTGTATATTAAGTCTTACCAGGTATAGAGAGGTATTAGGTTTCATGCGGATTCCCTAAAATTAATCAACAAGCAAAGCAATGGATAACTCCCCATTTCTTAATTAAATCAATTATCCTGAACTCATCTTCACCTTTAAGCAAAATACTTATTGGTTTTTGCTTAAACTTTAATCTATCAGTCTTCAGATTCACTCAGATCTATACAACAGGCTAGATTTGGTACAAGATTTTCACATTTTCTCTTGGAAACTTTCTTGCTGTTGGATCTTGTAAGATGAAGATTCTTTACCTGACAGAGAAACATATTTCCTGAAATACCAGTGGAAAATACATTCTTGTCAGATCCACCAATCTTTTCAGGAACATATGGTTCAAACATTGAGCTAAGCCATTCCTTCCACATGATTTGGTATGTATGGAAGATGTTGGTAAATGTACTGATGGTAAAAATTCCTTACACTGCTTGCACACTGAGCAGCAAAATGTCGGAATGGAGCAATGATGTTTAATTACATGGTTAGCTAAAATGGCTGAAATTCTTTGATAATAAAATGGTATAAATTATAAAAGTGTGTTCCATTAATTGTATGATTTACAAATAAATTATTTTTATACAAGTACTTTCCAAAGCTGTATGCCCTACTTTAGAACATATGCTCCCTCTTCTACACAGGGAGAAAGGGAAAAGCTTCCGGCATGAAAATTGCATCCCACAGAGACAGAATATAAAATCATGTTCAAAACTACTTTGCTTACAGGCAAAGGAGTCGTCAAAAGAAATACAGCACTTACTGTAATTATGAAATGGATAACAATGCTAGGCCGTGCTTTTGTTTCAAACCATTCTTTGGATCACCTTTGAGATGGCTGAAATCCAAAAGGTCCTATGTTTATACATTTCTATATATTTTTGTATTTTCTGGTGGAAGTAATATATAACACTGCAGGGCGACCTATAAAAACCATGTGATTTTACCTGCACGAGCATTTCAGTGATGGGCAAAAGCCTCTCCAAGTTAATAAAAAATAAATAAAAAATTCCGTCCTGCTTGCTTGGGAAATAGGTCGCAGAACGGTTTCATCAGCTTTCCTTTATTGATTTCCAACGCCAATTTGTGGCAGCAAACTTTGTACCCTCCTCCCGCCACATCCCTCTACTTTTTCCCAAGTGACCTTTGCTATGGAAAGAAAGTTCCAAAACAAACCCAGAGCAGGGTCATTACCTGCTTTGTGGCGGCTGTGCGAAAGCCAAGACTGGTGTAGAAGGGTATTAGGACCCAGTGGGAGCGGGATTTCGCTTGCCGCTTAGCAGACAGTCCATACCCTAAGCGAGACAGGGGGAATCCTGTTTTCCACCAAGAAGGGCTTCCCCGAGGATCTGAAGAGTCCCGGCTCCCCTGGCATCCCCATCCTTTACCAGGTAAGCAGCCTATCGTCTCTCTCTCTCTCTGCTTACCGTACGTAGACCATACTTAAATACAATCATTTACACTCTGGATAGAAAGAGAATGCCTTGTCGCTTTTCGTTTAATAAGACCCCCCCCCCCCCCCCCCCGTCTGATCTTCGCTTCCTCTCCTTTAAGGGGTTTCCAGCTAGCAGATGCTCCTGCCGACGTAAGCGCCGCTGCCCACCAGAAAGTTGTGCGTGGGAAGAGGAGA